GTGTGTGTGTGTGTGTGTGTGTGTGTGTGTGTGTGTGTGTGTGTGTGTGTGTGTGGTCATTGCACTGTTCTTCCAGTAACACAGGGTTTTCTCAAAGAAAAGCAGCATATATTCACTCGTAATATTTTGCAGAAAACTCCAGAAGTAGCCACGGCCCAAGGGAGAAAATTAAATATCCCAACATGGATCAACAGTGAGAGGAGTGAAGAGTCAAAGAATGCTATAACTGGGTTTCTTGCTTCTTGTTCTTGTTTTTGACCACCATGATTCTACTCTTAGATACATGCGCGGTCCAAGGCCAGGTGGGCGGACAGCCAAGGAGGTGTGGATGCCGGCACCTCCCCCGCTGGGAGCTGTGGGGCTGCCCAGGGACGTGGGGACACCATGGAAGGTAAGAGGGGTGCACAGGTGGGAGGGGACGATGGATTCCCTAGAGTCCTTTCTGCGTGTGCTGGGGAAGGAGAGAAAGAACCCCGGTTTCCACGTTCTCAACGGTGGTGCCAGAAGGCTCGGCATGGAGCCTTCTGCCCCAGGCTCCCCGTGCCCCCAGCTCAGGCATCGGGGATCCACCAGCCCACAGCCAGTCCGCGTGGACTCCTTGTCATACATCACCTCCTTCTGCCCTCGTGACGACCCTATAAAACAGGCGCGATGCATCTGACAGCACTGGCAAGGAAACCGAGTTAGTTACTTAATAGCAGGGTAGCTTGGTTTCTTCAGAGTTGGTGGCTGAAAACTCTGGGTTCCAATCCCAAGAATGAGGCTTTTTTAAAAGCAGACGTCTTGAATTGAGAGAGGTCATTGCAGGGTGGAGCATAAACACCACGAGGGCAAAGATTTTTACCTGTTTTGTCCCCTGCTGTATCCTCACACCTAGAGAAACACCGAGCACATGAAATACCGCTTTAACAAAGGACAGAATAAATTTATGCCACTGTGTGAATGTGGCCTTGTCAGAATCGAGGCAACGAATAATCCTTAGCGACCTCATGTGTCTAAGTGCTTTTGAAACTCCTCACGCAGCTGCACAGACCATCACTTCGTTGATCCCCTGCATCAACTATGCAAAACCGAGCCTGTATTTCCTCACGTTCAAATGAGGACAGTGGTGCTGCAAAGGTGAGTTACCTGCCAGCGTCACCCGGCTGGTCAGTGATCGCGTCAGAGCCAGGACAGGGTCCGCACAACATGGCAGAAGAAACCTAAGACTAGTTCAAGTTCCGGGACTAATCCTGCCCAGAAAAATACCAGGATCATGGGCGGTATCTGGACTGAGCACTTGGAGGAGGCGCATGGCCTTCCAACGTCTCAAATCCTGCCCCGTCACAAAAGGCTTCCCTGGTGCTCCCCGAGCCACACGCTCATGGTCATTTAACCAGCTGCGCTACCTTGGGCCCCAGACAGACAACCTCTCCCAATCTGTTACGTGGGAGGATGATAATTTTGAGGTGGGGATGTTGTACGGATCCGCTGAGGTCGGAGAGCAGCTAGCCCAGGGCCTAGGACTCAGGAGAGACCTGCACCCCGCCCACTGTGACCCCCAGGAAGACAACTCTGACTGCCCTAGCCTCTCTCCCAGAGACTCATCACTTCCGTTCAGCCTGCCTGCCTCTCCCCTGGCATGAACTTGTGCCGCGTCCTGCCTGCCCCGGGGGCCACACTTTCACGGCAGAGATGACATCACACGTTTGTATCCTCTCTGGCCCTCAGTCCCACTGAGCCAGTGCAGAGCTCTGACCCCTCAGCAACCCCATAGTCCTTATGAAAGAGGAGAAATGGCAGGTCAACGTTGGAGTTGGGCCAGAAAGGACAGAACAGGGAAACAGCAAGAAGGAGAGAACAACAGGCCTATCAATAGAAATGATCCAATCTGAAGAGACGAATAAATTTTAAAAGCCTCAGAGACATGTAGGACAGTGTCACCAGGTGTCCTAGAAGAAAATGAGACCAAAAAAATTGAAGAAATAATAGCCAAAATTAACCAAATTTGGTGGAAGACAAATTTACAGATTCAAGAAACTCGGTAAGCCTCAAGCAAGATAAATACAACGAAAACCACACGGCAGAGTCAAGCTGCTGAACACCAGAGAGGGAAGATCTTGAAAGCACCAGAGAGAAACCGTGTATCACATACAGGAAAACAACTATTTGAACAGCACTTACTTCCAATCATAAGCAACAGGGGCCGGGAAACAGTGGATAACATCTTTAAAGAGCTTTTTAAAAAGACTGTAACCCAGAACTGTCTATCCAGGGAAAGTATTCTTTCTTTAAGAATGAAGGCAAAAATCAAAACTACAATGAGATATCACCTCACACCAGTCAGAATGGCCATCATCAAGAAATCTAGAAACAATAAATGATGGAGAGGGTGTGGAGAAAAGGGAACCCTCTTGCACTGCTGGTGGGAATGTGAATTGGTACAGCCACTATGGAGAACAGTGTGGAGGTTCCTTAAAAAACTACAAATAGGAGACTTCCGGGAAGATGGCGGAAGAGTGAGACGCGGAGATCACCTTCCTCCCCACAGATACACCAGAAATACATCTACACGTGGAACAACTCCTACAGAACACCTATTGAACGCTGGCGGAAGACCTCAGAGCTCCCAAAAGGCAAGAAACCCCCCACGTACCTGGGTAGGGCAAAAGAAAAAAGAAAAAACAGAGACAAAAGGATAGGGACGGGACCCGCACCAGTGGGGGGAGCTGTGAAGGAAGAAAGGTTTCCACACACAAGAAGCCCCTTCGCGGGCGGAGACTGCGGGTGGCGGAGGGGG